AAAAGGAGGATTAAATTAGTCTGCAAGTGAGATTTTTTTTTTTTTTCTCCTTCACATCTCTTGGCTCTCTGGGAGGGTGTTAAGCCTCCAAAATCACTGTGGTGATCAATGCCTTTGACATGGCATGCAGTCCCTGATTACAGCAGAGCTCCCTGCCAGAGGCGTTATTTGCAGCTTTCTGGGCTGCAAATCCGTGGGTGGGTGGGTGAGTGGAGAAAAGTGGGAATGGAACTGCTTGGGATAATTGTACCCTTCCCAGGTGTATTAACAAACAAAGGAGGTTTCCGGAGGTGCCACCTTTGCGAAACTGATCCGTGCCCCTTTCCGGCTGCCGAGGTTGAGGGACTTTTGGCAGGGGACAGGCGATGGCAGCTTAGGAACGAGCCTTGCTCTGCTGAGCTTGCCCTGGAACTGCTTCCCGGGGTATTTTTCTACACTCGGTGCATCTAGAGAGGAACGTGTACCTCCCCAGCTCGGAGCCGGCTTGCTGGGGTGGGTGCTGGCACCCCAAGCTCTGCAGAGCAGGCGTCCCCCAAAAAGCAAGAAATCATGCTCAGAGCGGTTGCCCGTCTGCAGGCGGCCGCGAGGTGATAATATCCCTTTTGGGCCTCTTCTGCGTGCTCGCCGGACACGGCACGGCAGGGCACAGGGCTGGGCCATCCCACCACGCTCTCGCTAGGACCTGTGGACCTGTGAAGACTTTATCTGCGGGGTTAAGCAGGAGAATTAAATCCAGAGCTTAGCTGGGTAAACCAGGAGAGCAGCAACCCTTTCCCCCAGCGTCTAAATGTCAAGGGTGAACTACAGCACTCCCTCTTTGGCATCTCAGGTCCTTTGCTGAACCTCCCACAGAAGAAAAAAAGGCTTCCCCTGGTGCAGTGAGGCCTCGAGAGGCTCTTGCCTCGTTTTTCAACCTCGTTGAACCATCGTTTTGGCCCTGCAGTGACAGATGCTGCGCAGCCCCGTGCTGGGCGGTCGGTTAGAAGAGCTCGCCGTGCTCCCCAGCCTCTTGTCTGCAATGTCTGCGCTGCCTCGGCAGCGTTGAATGGTTGCTGGTGTCTCCTCGCTGAGATGCAAGAAGTTTATCAGCCGTGGCTGTGCTCTAAACAACGATGTTTGTGCTCAGCACCAGAGCTGGGCACTTGGCGTACCGAGGGTCTTTGAATATGCGCATTATTTTTTTCCTCCCTATTTTGGGGTCTGGAAACGGGATTTTGCTGAAACGCTGAAGGTCTTGTTCTTCTTCATAATAAAAAGCATTTCTTCTGCATGTCCTGCTTGGTAATTTGATTTTTGGGGGCTGAGCAGGCAGGGCTTTTGTCTCCGAGTGCTTTTGATGCTAGAGGAGTACCTAAAGGGGTTTTTCCCCCCTCCTCTTCCTCAAAAAAAGTAAGAAACCATTTTGAATCCCTGTGGGAGCAGGAGGCTTCCAGAGGAAGAAAGACTTGATAAAAATCAAGTATTTGATGTTGAAGTAAACAAACCTGTATTGTTCATCCAGAAGTGGAGTTTTGACTACAAACAGGAGAAATCCTGGCAATGCCCCGCGGCAAGCGCTTGGGAGTCAGCGCCTGTTTCCTAGACCACTTTTGATGTCTGTATAGGTAATTTGCTGTCTGTTTGCACCAGTTTGGGGCAAGATAATCACTTAATTTTGGCCGATCTATGTGTCCTGCATCCCCAGACACTGCTACTTGCTTTGCCTCACCAGCATGGGGCTGGGAAGGAAACGTTCCTCTCTTTTTGGGCTGCAGGGAAGGACACTTTTAGTGTGGATTTAACAAGGCACTTCTTACCTTTCAGCTCGGGCAGTTCAATGGTGAGGTTTAGGGAGCAGTGGTCTTTTCTTAGATGAAGTGATATTTAGAAGAAAGCTGATAAACCCTTCACACAAATAGCCAAAAGCAGCACTGCCTCTGCAGCTTGTCAAACATCTCACCTTTTCACTAGTTTTAGAACAGGGGTCAGAGACGCTTTGATAAATGAATTTGAAAACTTTATTGTAGCTTCTACAGATCTCTTTATCCTCCACTTACAAAGGATTCAAACCCCTGTGGCCCAGATCCTGAGCTCCTCCAGCATTTCCCCTAGGAGTGATGGTTTAGGGCTTTGAGAGGTTTCTGCTCTCTCCAGACTCTGTTCGTGCGCTCGCTGCTGTGAGCAGAGCGTGCTTGTTCCCCCTTGACTTGGGTTTTGCTGTGTGTGAAACTGAAGCCTTGGCTCAAAATGGAGTTGAGAGACGATTCTGCTGCTTGCTTTTTCCAGCAAGTGTTGGAGTTGGAGCCGTGTGGTGGGATTTAAGGAGCCACAGAGCTTCTGTTGGGTGAGGAATATCCTGACTGAGCTGTGGTAGGAGCTGTTGAGGGTAGGAGATGCTTGGATTCTTAGTGGGGCAGCGTTAGCAGAGCGCCACGTCTTTTTAATGCGTTTTGGGATGTTCCTGCCACCTCCTTTCTCTTGCAGATGCTGTCTGGACCACCCCTCTTCCCTTTCTGTCCCAGGGACTTACTGCATGAGGTATAAGGAGCTTTAAGGAGTTACTACAGCGTCTGATATCTCCTCCCTTGTTCTTTTTCTGCAGCTGGTCAGCGAGAAGGTTGGAGGAGCTGAAGGGACCAAGCTAGACGATGACTTCAAGGAAATGGAAAAGGTGAGTAGGAACAAGAGAAAGGTCTAAAATCACCCATGTAACTCCTCTGTGACCTTGCCAAAGCCCTGAGCTGATCTTCACTGCCACTGGGTCATCTTGTCTTTCTCACAGAAAGTAGACCTGACCAGCAAGGCAGTTACAGAAGTACTGACCAGAACAATAGAGTACCTCCAGCCGAACCCGGGTGAGTGCCTGGACCTCTCCTGTCCCCTTCCCTTTGCTTCTCAGTTTTCCAGGGAAACAGTCAAAGGGGGCAGAGACATCAGGGACTTTTTGGCCCTGAGGTATTGGTCACCAGCCCACGTTCGAGGTTGGGCATGCTGTCTCCCTTGACCAGAGTTGTGCTGGGCCGCCTTGAACGTGTGTCCTATGGCCTCGCTGACTCAGCTGGCAGGGTCTGGCTCTTGACTCGCTGATGCTTTGCAACTCAGGTGAAGATCCAGATTGCCCTCTTGGCTGTTTCTGGGCTCTAAGGCGCTGCTGTTGCTGTTGAACAGTGAAAGAACAGACGTCTTTCACCTTGGACCTAGAAAGGCTCTGAAGGGGACCCTTTTTCTGGAGTTGTCCAGAAAAAGTGGCATCTCTGGGCTGGGAAGGGGTGGCTGGCTTTGTAGGCATCGCCTCTGGAGCCTGCTGTCCTGTGTGCTTCCAGCCAGCTCATTCAGAGAGCACTCCAGGGGCTATGGGATGGCTGGGGAAACTCCTTTGGCCTTCACTGGCGAGCTGTGGGGAACTATTTTTGCTTGCTGTCTTGGAAAAGAAACTTCTCTTTTCGTAGCAAATGATATTTCTGGTCGATGAAGACAATAGGGCTTCTTGGCTTTGGGTGTAGCTTTAAAAAAAAGCTGGCAGTGGCCAGCAGCTGCTGGCCAAGTCCAAGTAATTGCAAACACGGCTGTGGCTGTTTCTGTGCCAGCTTCCAGAGCCAAGCTAACCATGCTCAACACGATGTCAAAGATCCGCGGGCAAGTGAAGAACCCCGGCTACCCGCAGTCGGAAGGGCTCCTGGGGGAGAGCATGATCCGATACGGCAAGGAGCTGGGCGAGGACTCCAACTTCGGTGAGTGCCCCATCGGGCCAGCTCTCCCTAGGAGCGTGTGGATGAGGTGGCTAAGGCTGCTGCCAAATTCCCAAGCTGTTATTCTATATTCTGGAAGGGCTGTGTGACCCTTTGCATCACCTACCAGTACTGGGAGCTCTTAAAAGAGGTTCAAAGGCTTCCACCCTGGGTGACAGGGGAGGGGCAAGCAGACCCCAAGCGTCCTGGATCCCAATCCATGGCATTACGTGCAAAACCACCTCTTAACTCGTTCTTATTAAACGCTGAGATAAATTTGCGTGTAGGAAAAAATGCTTCCTTGCTTCTAAACTGAACAATGGTGACGTGGAAACTAGATTGAGCGAGATGCGGAGTCTTACGGTGCAGTTTCCAGCTAGAGCTCTGCGATAGGGAGGCTGTAGCCAAGAAATCTTTTTGCGTGGCGATTTCTCATAAGCACGTGTGACTTGCAGGGAGGAGGGGGGTGAAGCCTTTTGGTGACATCAATTTTAATCCACTAAAACATCAGCCTGCGCACGTGACAGACTTTGTACAGTGCACAGCTGTCTGATGGCTTCCAGCACAGGGAGGAGCCTTCTTGCCTCAGGAAAATTAAAAAGCTCTGGCTACTTTGTGGGAGTGACAAAAGGATTCTCGAGAGTATCTCTGGCCAACTCGGAGCCCTGCATTTCTCTTGGCTTGCAGGAACCAGAGTTGTTACAGAGAGCAAGGGGGAAGGAAGTTTTTAGAAGAACACACCAAACCTGATTTCCTTTAATAGCCTCTCTTTAAAGGAACGCTTAACTTGATAATTTTCTGTGTTAGTACTTCATCTCTCCCTAGGACACGTTCTCTAGAGTTATCACAAGAGAAATAACTCTTCTTGTACAATTTTTTTCCAGCTGGACAGTAGAGTGGTGTTTTCACTTTACCCTTTATGTCACTTGTATATTCTCCTGTGCTAATGTAGTGCTGAAATAGTTGGTTCGCCAAAGCTGCACAGGAATAGTTTAATCTATAAACGGTTTCCACTGGAATAAAAAGCCACGACTAAAAATGCTTCGCTGCAAGTCCCTCTGCCTTAGCTGCCATTGTGGCAGGAGCCTTAGAAAAGCATGAAGCTAAATAGGTTTCAATAAGGAACTTTGAGCTCTCTAATTCAGAGGGAAGGAGAAGGGATAAGGTTGGTCCCGTAGAGGTTAGTGTCTAAAATGAATAAAAGGCTGCAGGTTTGCTGCCAGCATCTGGGGAAGCTTGAAAAGTTGGTCAGAGCGCTTGGGGATTAAAATTGTCTGAACAAAAGGATAACCAGGCTGGATCAGACCGAACGTGCCTCTGCCCCGGGCTGCTCTTGCCAGCAGTGGCCAAGGAGCAGAGCGAGGTTAAAGCACCGCGTGGCCAATTAGCAGCTCAGTAACTCCCTGAGCTAACGGGGAGTTTAAAAATACTGCTTTAAAAAATATTTTTACCTTTCCCTTCCTCTGTGTAGCTGGTAGAGATTGTTCCTGTTTTTTGAAGGAAAAAAATGAAAGACGTTAGCAAAGTGCCTTGTGCGGAGTCAGTACCAACAGGCAGCTGCCCACTCTCGCGCTGGGCACCGCGCGCTCCGTGCCGGGCTCGGAGATTTGCTCCAGCCAGAAACGTGGGGGCACTGGGTGGGGGACGGAGCTTGCACACGCTGGGTGTCTTGGCAGAATGGCTCTGCATGCAGCTGCCACAGACTTCGGCTCTGTTTAACTGGCTGGCCCCTTCTCCCTTCCTCTTCCCTTCCTTTTCTCACTCGAAGGCGACGCGCTTCTTGATGCTGGTGAATCTATGAAGCGGTTGGCTGAAGTGAAGGACTCGCTGGATATTGAAGTCAAACAAAATTTTATTGATCCCCTCCAGAACCTGTGTGACAAAGACCTGAAAGAGATCCAGGTAAACAGGTCGCCGTTTTTCTCTCCTCCTCATCTCTCTCATTTCTGGCCTCTCCTGGCTATTAGTGCATGTCACCGCTTGCTCTGTCATGGTGGGAACCAAGGACCCGCGTAGGTATCGGGTCTGTTCCCCTGTGCTTTGTGTGCCTTCTCTCCCCACATTCACTAGTATTGCCTCCCTGCTCAGCACCGCTGCTGCTACTGCTCCTGAGCAGCTCGTAGGGCTGGAGGCAGGTCTGAATGGTTCTTCATTTACCGTGTTTTATGGAGGGTGCTGCGGGAGTTCATCCCGACACGCGTTCTGGGCTTGCTGAATTTGGTATTTTGTGCTGTGAGCTCCCAACCGTGTTACATTTGGGCTGCCTGGCATTAAACTTCACAGTGTTATTTACAGCTGTTGGCTCTATTCCGTTAGCAGTCTGGATCCTATAACACAACTTCCAAGCTATGAGCAAGCTTCCCTCTAGGTCTGTTACGCAGCATCTCAAGAAGGCCCTTCGGTGTCTCGCTGGGGAGACGCAGAGCTTGGTAGCTACCGCAGAGACAAGTCGATGCAAGGCACGGCCAGGCTTTTTAACAGGATCCATCCCAACCTGTAACTCACAAGGCAGCTCTCTCAAGTGAATTTTTTGCTTACAGTGATGTCCCAGATAAAATAACCACCAACTACTGTTTCAGTACTTACCTGTACTCCAATTCCGTAGGCTGCCATAGAGCTGATTTAAACTAAGCGGCCAGGGGATGCAACGAACAGAACCTGCATCACAATTCCTGATCTCCAGAGATCCCTGTCGCTCCTGGGGACCTGAAAGTAGTGGGCCAACTCTTCCATCTTCCCAAAAAGCTTGCATGGGGAACAGACCGAGGCTGCTCCCTGCAGTGTTTTCCCCCAGCTCTCAGCTGGAATGGGGTGAAATTATATTGCCATGCCAATTTGTTGAGAGTTTTTTCTTAGTAAAAAGCCATGGCAGTAATCCTCTGCCAAACTGAGTTCGGACAGTCCACTCACTCCTCCCGGTCGGCTCACAGCAGCCCCGCTTTGCAGCTCTCCATCACGTCCTGGAGCCTCGCCCGAGGCTGAATAAAGGTGGGAGCCACAAAAGCGTGTGCTCCAAGATCAAGTTTCTGAGACGAATGAACTTGGCCTGTAACTAGAGCTGCCCTCCCAGCAGGAGCGCTTGGCTGCTTCCAGTCTCTGGCTTTTCCTTCTTTTCCTTTGCTGTTCATAACCATTCTCTTCCCAGCACCATCTCAAGAAGCTGGAAGGCAGACGCTTGGATTTTGACTACAAGAAGAAACGACAGGGCAAAATCCCCGATGAGGAACTTCGACAGGCCATGGAGAAATTTGAAGAGTCCAAGGAAGTAGCGGAGACCAGTATGCACAACCTCCTAGAAACTGATGTGAGTCCGTGGGGGCTGAGCTGCCAGCTGGGTTGTGTGTTTCTGTGTACACGAGGGTGGGATCTCTCAAGGGACGCTGAAGTTAGACACTAATTTCCACTCTCGTTTTTGCAAGTGTGGTTTTGCTCTCTGAAAACCCAGATCTGAGTGCCCAGCACGTGGCTTGGCAGGCCTCTCCTCCTTTCTGTAGCCTCTCTTCCTGATCCAGCTCTTGGCCAGAGGAGAGGCTGTGGCTTGTACCAGTACAGGTCTTTTCTCAATGTACTGGTGGGAGTCAGTTTGGGCAGGTAACGCAGGTTAATTAGGAACTGAACAGTTAGCGAAGCCCAGAGAGCGGTAGGAGGTGTCCCCTGTCCTTCTGAGTCTCGGTCAGTGCCTGACCTCTGTTGTCTGAAATCCCAAACCTTCTCCTCATCTCCCTGGGGAAGTTGCCCTTCGTACATGTTCCCCTACGTGCAATGAGGGAGTCTCCTGGCAGCTGGGGAGAGCCATTCATCCCACCTCGGTGTGATTCTCGCAGATCGAGCAGGTGAGCCAGCTCTCAGCCTTGGTGGACGCCCAGCTGGACTACCACAGGCAGGCGGTGCAGATCCTGGATGAGCTGGCAGAAAAACTCAAACGCAGGTGAGTCCCAGGGTGCTGCTGGCACTCTCAGTTTTCACAGCCACAAGCTCTCCCTGTCATACTTGTCTGTAAATACCTGACTATCTCACTAAATCGATATCCTGGTGTTAAAGCCGCTTCTTGCAATCACTAGAGCTTCAATCCAAACCTTCAGGTTGGAGGGGAGCAATCCCAGCTGCACAACCCACTTTCAACGATGGGCACATTCTGACATCTGAAACAAAACCTCTCTGCTGGGCTGAGCCCTGCCTGAATCGGGGCGTGCTGCTCCCAGGGAGGCTGGAGTTGAATTTGGCAGGGGTGGAGAAGGAGAGTGAAATCCCCTTCACGCCAGCACTCACGGCTCCTTGCTTTGTGGGCGTTGAGCGCGGGAGCATCCCCCAAGAAGTGCCTTTTGGCCAGACCCAGGATCAAGTCAGAAGTTGCATCATGCTGAGGGAGCAGACAGCTCATATGTCACGAGCTGGACATGCCTGTCACCCTGCGTCCCTTGGAACCGCCTCTTTGTGCCCTTCGCTTCAGCTGTGGTTACGGAGGGTACTTGGACATTGGCTATGGTTGTGGTCCAGAAAGGTCCGTGTCAAGGGCTCCCAGTTGCTCTGAAGACCGGAAAGCGAATGCAGCATGGTGGGCATGATGTGGTCGCTGCAAGCCAGTGGAAGAGCACCTACGTCCCCTCCTTAAAGGGGGGCATCTGTGGAGCCCCCCACCAGAGCCCTCATTTTCCGGCTCTCCCTTCTGTCCCTCCCAGTACACCGGTACACCCTGCCGCCGATGTGGCACTGCCGCGTGTGCTCTGGCGTTCTGAGCCACGTGAGTTGGTGAGAGGCAGAGGAGTGTCTGGCACACAGGAGCAGGGAGAGCCGCAGAGCTGCCTGGTCTTGCTGCTCTCCCTGCCCCTCCTCGGGTGCCTGACCTTTGTAGCAGCCCCGGGGAACGTGTGGTTGCTGCCAAGGTGCCAAGAAACACAGACGTGCTTGTTGAAATACCGAGCGAGCTGGTTCTCATGACTGCTGTGGCTTGCATGGGCATTCCTCCTGCTGCTCTGTCTCACCTGAGCGAGCACCTCGCCAAACCCTGGCTGAGGAAGGAGAGGTGGCTTCGTTGCATCTGGGGCGTCCCTGCGGAGCCGGGGACAAGTCCTCCACCTGGCGCAGGGTGGCTTGGGCAGAGCCGGGGCAGCCCGTCCGCTTCTCGGGGCAATTTGGTAGTGCTGCCCTGCTCTTCTTTCCACGTAGAAGAAACTGCTGAGTGGATCCTGCGTCTGGTTTGAATTAAGAAGAGCTGGGAGGATCCTGCCAAGTGCGAGCTTTTGAACTGCAGCACCAGTGTCCTCTGCTGGCCTGAATTGCCTGGGACACCTCCATAGCAAAGCCTGGGGCATGTGGCCCTCTCTGAGGGCCAGGTCCCAAACCCTGGGCAAGATCCATCTTCAAAACGCCCCAGCACAGAGGGTTGTGCAGATCCTTGTCTACAAACCAATTTGCTCCCCTGCGTAGCCACTGAGGAACATAAGTATCATGTTGATCTCATCATATTCTGTTTCGTATTTCAGTTTATCCACATTTTTTTTCCTTCTTCCAGAATGAGGGAGGCCTCCTCACGTCCCAAGAGGGAATACAAGCCCAAACCCAGGGAGACATACGACTTTGGAGACCCTGACCAATCTAATGGGGGCTTCTCTTGCAATCCTACCCCCAAAGTCTCAGGTAAAGTTGTCCCGTGTGTGTGCACACGCAGGTGCCTCTGGAGCAGCCTCCTGAGGCTGGAGGGGAACTGCTCTGCCTGGAAAGGATGTTTCTGGTGTGCTGGATGTGCCTGCACGAGCTGGTGGCTCTGAAAAATGTCAGAAATCTCTAGACCCGGGCTGTTTTCTCTTGGGGCCCAGCAGCCTTTGTTTATATTGGCTCTGGGGACATCCCAGCGGGATCCCCAGCCCGTGCCGCTCGCCTGTGGTGCCCGGTCAGAGCCAGCAGTGGCACGCAGGAAAAATGAAGCATCTCTCGCTCCCTCCCCATCTTCCATCACGCTGCATTCGTCCCTCCCCGGTCCCGGCGAGGCAGGCGTGTTTCTAACACAGCACGTGGGCCGCCTTGTTTCTCCTAACAGACCCTCCCTTTGGACCCTGCCTTTCCCTCTCTCCAGTTCGCGTCGTTTTAAGCATGTCTCTTTTTGTTTGGAAGCAGCTTCCTCCTCTTTCCGATCCGACAAGCCGTCCCGGGCCTCCGTCAGGAGTATCCGTGAGTTTCCTCCCTCCGCACTGCATGATGCGTGACCATCTCTCCCCATCCCTCCTCACTCCTCCTTCCGTGACGCTGCCTCTTGGAGCCACTAATACCTCCGTGCTGAGCCTGGCCTGCAGCACGGCGCAGCTAAGCTAAGCTGAGCTAAGCCTCGAGCTAAGCCCCAAATTAAAACAGCCGTGCTATACTGGTACTTACCACCCCAAAGCTGGGGCCTTTGCTCACCCGGAGGAGTTGTAGCAGCTATCATGACGCAGGCATGTCCTGCCTGAGCCCGCGGGGATCCGATGCTCTTGCACGAGGTATCAAACATCTCGAGGATTACCCCGTTCTGGTTACAAGCACCCCAGCTTGGATCTCTCCCACTCCTGCTCATGCTGCACCCCCGTACCCCGCTGCCGAAGGCTGGGGGGAGCGGG